CCAATTAAAAAGCTCACTGATGGCGCAAGCTGACTCATCAAAGTGGAGCGACGCCTTACCGCTTGTACTCCTTGGTATTCGTTCAACTATTAAGGAAGACATTGGATGTACAGCCGCCGAGTTAGTCTATGGCACAACCCTAACGTTACCCGGTCAACTAGTCAACTATGAACCTACAACGCACGGGGATTCTACTCACTTCGCAAGCCGCCTATTACAAATGATGCAGAACATTAAAGCAATACCACCTCGAGAATACAATAACCGAGCCCACCTCGATAAACATTTAGAAACTTGCAAGTTTGTCTTTGTTCGAGTAGATGCTGTCAAAAAACCATTGAAACAACCATACGAAGGTCCATATAAAGTAATTAAACGCACACAAAAATACTTCATCATCAGCAGAGATGGCAAAAAGCAGACTATTTCTATAGACAGAATCAAACCTGCTTTCTATGAATCTACTCAAGTCAAAGAAGACAGCGCCGTTGACAATCAACCCCTTTCACCAGTGACTGAAAAGCCGGGGGAGGATAAAAAACTTAATACTAAACCTTCTTGTTTCACACGCTCGGGCAGACCTATAAACAAACCCAAACGTTATGTCCATTTCGTCAATTAAAAAAAAAATAATAATAATTTTTTTTCCTTTTTTTTACAGTGTACATAATTAACCATATTTTTTCCCCAAAATTATTCGTTTTGTCACATTTTTTTTTCAAAGAAAAAAAATTTTTGTTACAATAATAAACGAGTAAACTCTATTTAATTATTCATTTGTTGTACACACACACACACACAAATAAGCAGTTCATTTTTTTTTGGGTTCAATAACAGTTCTTTACATTAGTGTCATTGTTAGCAAACCAAGCTTTTAAATGACGGTATTCTCATTACTTTTGTTTGTCATGCTATGCCATATCATCACTATTTTTACGCAATAATACACTGTATATTATGAACGTACATGTCATACGCAACTCCACATTGTTTATTGGTTATTATTGTAAATATTAATTTTTTTTTGTATAAAATTTTTTTATTATAGTTATTGTAACCAGTGTTACCTCCGGACACTCTGGGGGGAGCTATGTGGAGACATGACTGACAAGCTTATTTTGTAAATAGTTTTCAATGTTATTTCTATTTATTTTGTCAATTTTTCACTGTATGTACATTTATCATTAAATGACTGTACGTATTGTTTTAGTCAATGACCTTGAACACTTTTTCCGGCTGTAATTCGAACATAGCGTGACATATTCTTACTGGCTAACAAATACATCACTACGCACTCATCCCTCGTTCTATTCCCATTTGTGATTGAATTAGCTGAATTCTAAATCAAATATTATCATTATTTATAGACTGTAATTGGAATACATCACTTTCTACGTTGGATTATATCACCAGAGAGTTCGCCAACCTGTTTGGAATTATCAAACATTTATAATTGTGGGTTTACATTACCGGACCGAATCAGAACACGCAGCGTTTGTTCAATTTAAGTAACGTCCCGAATTTTTATTGTATTTGTAACAATTAACTGTATATATATTAATATTACTATTGATCTTTAGTAACTTTATTTATAATTTTTGCATTCATATTTGTCTGGTCCACCACAAGGTCGCTTTCAAGTCTTTTGTACTTTGCAGTTGTATATCCTGTACTTGAAAGTGTTGCTACCAAGATCTGGACCCAGGTCTAAGGAATAAATTAGCGAATTATTTCTGAATATATTTAAAAGTATGTTAGTTCTTTCATAAAGGTGGAAAACAATTATGATCAAATTTCAAGTATGCATATTAAAACTATCAAGGCGAAAACTTTCACCGGACAAGTTGACTTCTAGATCAAATTTGACTCAAAAATTTGATTTTAGGTCATATAGAATAAGGACACATTAGTCTTTTGCCATCAAGTACATTTCAGGTAAAGAATTATGTAGGACTTATGAATAGTTCGTATCGTCTTACACAAAGACTACTTTAAATTTTACATAGTCGAAAGCCAGTTTGTTGCCGTCTGTTCAAACATGTTTAAACGAACGAGACATTCCAGAAGTGTTGGCTTAATATTTTGACTGTTAGCTTCTCTTTGAAGTTTCTACCATCGTTAAATTTGTTACTCTTCAAGACACCTGCGGAGAAAAACGGTTTTATTCTGAATTGAAGAAGTAGGAGACAGAAGACTTTATTTTGCCCGATTCCTCACGACAATATCTGTTTATCTTGTTTCACAGTGTTTATTCGGAGTTGGTTCCAAATTGCTTCGTATCAGTAAAACACTAGGTTTCATTCAATCAAGTTATTCGTCATGTATTAACAATTTGTAATGAGAATTTATCGGCAGTCAGCGTTTCGAAGAAGTTCTCTGCTAAACAAACGAGTAAGAAATAACGAACGTTGAGTAGTTTAAGCGTCTAAAAAACATCTGATAGGTTAACATTGGTCACTGGATCTCATCAAACAAGATACAACCTATTAAGAGTGATTCAGTGAACAGATCGTATTCATTTAGGGTTTGGGACTGACCGAATACGTGGGTGGTGACAAGAAAAGGCGTTAGAACAAAATATCTTCAAAGTTGGATAGTTTGTAGATTTATTATGAGCATCTAGTCGAGAATTTTCATGTCTACTCACCAATAGGAAATAGCGGGTATGGTTTATCCAGGTTTTATGTGATCACAAACAAAATACTTCGGAGTGACGAGAACGTTCCATACTCTTGTCACTTTTAAGGGGTCTACACTACCATGAGTTACAACTTCCAAAACGGCCTGCAGTCACGAGAACGGTGAATGCCAATGCACGGACAAGAGATCGAGATGTCATGGCTCGGACATGAAGGCATGGTCATCTCACGCAACATTTTGCTTATGCATTGAATATATTACATTCTACCCAGCCCGAAATGTGTCCGCCGGAATCGCTGAATATCATCTTGCTGATTATCATGATAAGATGAGTTAGCGTGGACTATGTTGAGATTTTCACGTATGATACTATAAATTAAGCACTCAAATCGTACCAAGTCTACAGTTTTGGTGTAACGTCTGTGATTGTGTCAGTAATAATACCGAAATAGGCCATAACTTGATATATTCATCAGCGCCCATGTAAATAAGGAAATGACGAAAAACCCGCAAATGTGTTTAATTGAACACATATTCCGTGGGTGTGATATCATTCCCGCCAGAGAGCGTGGTGATTCCATCGAGGCTAGATATTAATTAATAAACATTCACGTTTTCTGGCTAGAGATCTGACTTCGCATGATAATACTGATGCAAATGAGATACATATCTTGTTTATTCTGTCGACATATTCCGTTAATAAAATCGTAGGAATGGGAAACCGAATAAGAAAGTATTTAAGGAGTATGTGACAAAGCTATTATTTATGGACGATCTTTGGGCAACTCTAGACTGACCTTGAGCGTGTCCGCCTAATAAATACGACTAAATTAGGCTTATAAACTAGTGTGGGGACTTAAAATTATGATTTACAGCCGAGTGGACGAACAAAATTCCCGCCAACAATTCGAGACGTTATCTCATATCTGAGTGGTTCGTCCACAAATTATAGTGCCACCGAATATGTATTTCGTATAGTCGTTAGTTTGGACGAATAATGAGAGACAAAACGAACACTTGCAAACTGGAGTGGTAGGAACAGCAGTTTCCTTTGCATTATCTGTGACTCAACACCTTAAATGAAACAGAAGAATGAGCAGAAGTCATGTGACGAAGGGAGTGTGCTGAAAAACTAAACTTTCGTGTGGAAACAGTCAACGTCATGGGCAAATGGGTGACGAGGCCATTATGTGTGAATAGCTTCTTTAAAGGAATAAACAAAGCGATTTATCCAAAGGTCAGAACAACTCATTTGAGCATGCTATGCGCAGAACAACAGGCGGCAAAAAGATGTAGATAGGTATTACAGAATTATAGTAACAGCTGTTACTGGTCACATTGTTGTGCACCGGTTTTATGCAAATGATAAGGGTTTTGTTCGCAATTCCTGGTATCGTATCTATAACACTACCACAGAAGTGCTGCAAAAAATGGCACCATTAGTTGTAAATGAACCTAGGGTTCACAACTTATGAGGAAAGTACTTCGCAACGGATCTTGTATTGTCGCACAGTAAAATAGGTATTTGAATCGCCTAATATAAGCGGGGAAATAGAAAGTCTTTAAATTATAACGGACTATTAGTCGCAAATAAAGAACAGAACACAGTACATCTATACACACAAATATAATTCTGGTAATTGATAGTCTTGAGCAAATATTTGGTGGGGAAGTATCAAAACAAACGATTAGTATATACACGGGAATACCAAATCAATTCGTCTAATTGACAGAACCAATCTACCACGTGACTGAAGAGTTATGCAATACCTGACGTTAGATGGTCCCTGTTCGACCTCGAACATGATGTGTTCCATCGCGCTAATACGGGAATCAAACATACGACGAGTATAATGATTATCTGACAATTTTTATACTTCCCTCACTCTCACATTCGATGTGGACCTAAAATGATCACCATTAAGTTCTAAGTGGCGTTTAAAAATAGTAAAATAGCTTTAATTACTATCAGGACCAGATACTAGAATAATACGCCTGGTAGTTATCTCTCTACCAAACAACTAGGAACCCGAAAATTTCAAATGTTTTACCCCAATAATGGTATCAACCATGATTTTTCTTCATTGAAAACTTAAGGTTCAATACACTTGACAGAATACGTGATTTCAATATAAGAAACGATTAATTTGAAAGACAGTGTTAACTCTGTTCTATGTAAAAGAAATATTTTTATCATAAATCTCGATAGTGTTTTACTACTTCAATATGGATTGTTTCTCAAGGCTAATTAATCAAGCAAATTCAACATAGTCAGTTGCCGTCTTTCCAATTCGTTACTAATTGTAAGTCCATACGATGTGTTTATTGGATCATGAGGTTACGTTTGTTATATTTCTCTAGTTTTTCATCTCTCATATGTTTTACAGGCATAAAACGTACTCTTTAGTTGGACGCGAATCATAATAAACTTTCATTTCAGCTGATCTACTCGTAGGCTTATGTTAGACATCCGACCGAGTTAGAATACCTAACTTTTAAAAGTACTTCTCAGTTCACGTTTTGTCAGCTTTTTGTCATTGTTATTGTTATCAATTCTTTTCGACTGTGAACGTGTATGTTTTCAGTTTATTATTTTTTCTCTCTCTTCAGTTCTTGTGCTTAGTATTTATTTCAGACTGATGGAACAACATCAACTCGTCGGAATAGACCCGAATTTTATGTACTTCTTGAGTCCTTGGCTGTTTGTCTTACGAATTTACACTGCATTTGAACCTAACACATCTTGTTGTCTTATTTCTATGTGCAAATTGTCTAGGATTCAAGACTTAATCTTTCGATGTCATTGTTTATAATTGCGTTCTCTGATCAGCATTCTTGGAAGGTTATATGTGGAGGTATGACCTACATGATAGAAATCTCTAGGCAGTTCTGGGCTTGGTACCGATTTTCACTGTCTTGCTTTGTCCAAACGTCGACATTTTAGTATTATCCAGCCTTATAAGTTTATTTCGGAGTAGAAAGATAACTCCGTACTACCAACCTTCAGACCACTTAGAACCTTTTCTGAGATCACTTTCGTTGATTCCACTTAGGATTTATGTGGCATGTATTGTTGATCATTGAGTCAGTTATCCTGATGATCAATAATCTGACGAACAGCTTGATTGATTAATAAATATTCCAAATATCACTTCTTTCTATTTTTCAGACAACATTTCGCTTCTTTTGGTGGAATATGATTCCCACTTGAGACCAGTGAACATTAGTGACTCATCTACAATCTACGAATATCAATCTTTTGTTATGACGTTTAGGCAGCCTGTCTTGAGTCATGATCAAGAGGATTTTAAAGAAGACATCCTTAATCATTTGAAAGAGACTGATTATCGCGTGTATCGAACAAGATGGATAATTGTCTTTACATTTGCGTCATTGAGTTGTACAAATGCTTATTTGTGGATATCTTATTCCCCTATTGCTAACTACTTTGTCGAGTTTTACTCAACAAGTAACACGGTTCTCAATCTCATTTCTCTAATTTACCCTTTGACTACGATAGTACTTGGTCTCCCAATAGCGTATGCCATAGATCGTCTTGGGGTTCGTTTCATTGTTTTATGTACAGCCATTTGTAACTTATTGTGTGGGTGCATGCGCGTTTTGAGTAGCGCACCACATATAAATATTTCATCCTCTGGACGTCTCATTTTGATAGTATTCGGACAAGTAATCGCTTCTTTTGCTCAACCATTCTGTTTGTTCTGCACAACCAGTCTTGCGTGCGATTGGTTTCCCGACAATCAGCGTACCACCGCAAACACTATTGCGTCTCTTGGAAATTCAGTAGGCATATTGCTGGGCAGCGCGTTTGCCCCTAATTATGTCAAGAGTTCTTCCGATATTGTTAGTTTCAATTATATATCCTTGGGATTGGTTGCTGTTCAGTTCTTGTTGTCAATATGTTTAGTCCGCAGAGGTAAACCAATCACACCCCCTTCATATGTGGCGACCTTGGCTATAGCTAATCGTCGAGTCAACTCTAACAGACATTTTATTTCACTTCATTCTTTATGCAACTTTTTGAAAGCGTTTGGTCCACCCCTTAAGCTCTATGGATTTTGGATTGTTACAATTACATTCAGTAGCTGTATTGGATATTTTACTGTCTTGTCGGCTCTTCTACAGCAAATTCTGTGTACAAAAGGTTACTCCAACCAGTTTGCTGGGTTTTGTGGATCAATCACAATAGTTGCAGGCTTAGTAGCAGCTGGTCCTGTTGCATTGTTTGTTGATAGAACGGGATTCCTTATTGAAACATTAAAGGTCTGTGTTTCTTTTAGAATTCATAAACTTTTGATTCAATAATTATGTGTTTTGTACAAATCTGTGTATATAATAGAACCGTAACTTCAGAGGACAAATCGATTTAGTTTAAATTGTTTAATCAACTAAAGGATGGGACTAAATAGACCAAGTTTTTGGATTTAACTTTAACAAATGATAGAAATTATCTAATTACTTTTAATTACTTTATCGAATCACGAAACCATTTATAGTAAATTATGTTCTAAAGGTCAGAAGTTATAATGATTATGAAATACATTGATCTTACTCGTTTTTAACATACCATACGATTTTCGTATCACTCCGTATAGCTCTAATTACATACAAAATTTCCTAATATAAATAAGTGTACTTACATTACTATTTAATATAAAGAACGCAGTTAAATTTTTGCGACTTTTGTGCTGGATTTTATTAAAAGAAAAAGTACTTAACAACGGCATAATAGATCAAATGTAAGTCTGTCACCGTACATTGAAATATATTGCCTCAGCATTGGTCTGTGTTAATACTTAATGGGGAACTTAAGTTGGTTTGATACCTCACTTTTACTGGGATTCCTTTCAACCCGGATAGTTTTACCCCTCATATGTCAATACAGACATAATTCAAATTAATTGACCACTAATTAGCTGTGCAACAGTTGGAGTTAAGAGCATGTTCATTTATCTGTCAAGGAGTGAGAATACAATACAACGATCCGTTCCTGGTTGGTTTACGGCTACTGAATGTGCCTAGTATCAGTTGTAGTTAGAATATCGGTCATACATATTTAGTCAGTATTTATCCGGATGATCTATACGACCTTATTTAACAGCGTGAAGAGATCTAGACATTCTAGTTGATGCCAATACACTAAACTTAATCCATAGTTGTAAACTTTAGGTGCTATAACTAAGAATTTGTTATCATTGACCCGGTTAGATTAATTTATATCTTTCTTAAGTTCATGAACTTAATATCATTCCGTACTTCTTATCCCTTGATCTTATTCGTTAATTTTTAACTATATTTCACATGTCAATCTTTCCAATACAGTTGCCATTGCTGTTTCACCACGTTTGGGTTTTCTTGTACTTTGTTAATGCGAATTATGCAGAACTAAAGTGATGCATATTTGTGTTAAGTCGTAGTTTTCCTGTTACTAATCAGTTAAACATCAAACCACATGATATTATGTACAGTAATTTCATAATGCTCAACAATAATTATGGTCATACTAATAGCCATAACGAGAATAGGACCTGGCACAGTGTGTATCGACCCAAGTCCCCACAACACATCATTATAGATCATTAGAGATTATAAGATGAATGACAAGAGATTTAAAATAACACTGATCATATATAAGAAATGTGGCTTGTGAAGGAACTAATTTTAAGAATAAGAAGTGTAGAATAATGTGAGGACTCAAAATTTAATTGAAAACAAAGAGTGAATTGTTCGGAGTCACAGGGATCGATATTGAATCATGTCATCTGAGATGTCAAACTATTGACTGAGGCTATCGTCCTGATTTCAGCTAGACAAGCCCCACCAATAAATAAGCGGTGACTTAAACTAATTACTCTTTTTTCTCAATCTGCTCTGGGTTTTTTTCAATCTATTCATATGCTATCCAGCGTTGCTTAGAACGTTATTCGTTTGTCATTTGACACAACATAAAAATATTAATGCGTCTGGTAGTATGGCATATGAAATAAAATAACAGTTTCGTAAATATATATATGAGAACTGTATAACGAGAAACAATAGTCAATTTTCAAGGGATGTACTTCAAGTAAAAACACAATCAATATGTGTTTCGTCTACTCTAAAGATATATTCACCTGTTTATTAAAAATCAGTAAGAAATTACCACATGGTTATTCATGATCTTTACTACCTTCAGATGTATGCTTCCGAAATTGAAGGATATTGTAACAGTGATGTACGTTTTTAATTGGGTATCGCTATATCACATTGTGCTCGTTTTATATTTGTTTTTATTATCAGATCACATTTTTACTAAGTGTTTTGGGCTCTGTCTGCTTAAGTATTGTATTTTGGTTCCCTAATCAGCAAATACTAATCACCATTTGTTTAATTTGGCTTGGAGCATTTGGTTTCTCTCAGTTTTCCCTGTGTTTAGAACTAGCTGCAGAGGCGACTTATCCAGTTTCTGAAGCAATTACAACCAGCTTTCTTATCATCTCCAACCAAATAATTTCCCTCGCAATGTTGCCTGTTTTACAGTTTACTGCACCTTTAGCTAACAATTCAACTAAAATTATCAGCACTTGTGGTCCAAATGAAGATATCCGGGTAAACAATTTGCAATAAAACTGATTGTTTTATAATAAATGTATAAGTTCTTAAGAACTATATTTAACATTTTTCAAAACTTATTTCTCAGATTAACCCGTTTCAAAAACTTTCTTATAGGCAAGGTTTATCGTCATTCATGCGTATTATGTTGCACACATCTCAAAGAAGCAAATACGCATCTCACAAAAATAACGCAACACTAAGTTCCAACAACAGTATAATACACCATACTCTAATAGAGAATAACTGGATATGATTAGGAATCTCATTGTCACAGTAAGGGATTAGTTTTAAGTTTTTTAATACACCATCGTAATGGCTTGTGATAAAGCAGTCTATTTTTAGTGTCATAGTATTAAGCAATTACTAAAAGCCAGTGTACATTTAACCACTTAAGAATCCCTTACATTATTCCGATCGGCCCCATGAATTACTGTTTATTTAACCAGTATCTTGCATCATAACGGTATCTAGTACATATTAAGAAAACATAATAATTAGAAATTCAACAAGGCAGGTATAATTAATTATTTACCTATTTAGTGTAAAATAACAAACAAATTCTGTCCTATTTTTTTTCATTGTCACTATCAACCAAAAATTACTAACACGGATTATTACATTTTTCATAGTAAACTTATTTTTCAGTAGTAAACCTGGTTAGATTATTCAAACTTTTTATCTGCTTGTTACAGTCATCTAAGTAAATTTTCGCCCTTTTATTTTGAAAATTTGATGTCCGAATAATGGATATTTTCATATTAACAATATAGTCAATACGTATCTGTATTGTTTGTAGTGGATTACATTTGAGATAAGTGATATTTGAAAGCGATATTTAAATAGTTGTACATTTCCATTAAAAATGTATGTTTATTATTGTATACGAAGGACTACCGTTGACCTTTCACTTTATTTTTGATTTGTTTAGGATTTCAGTGCACCACATATGGGTTTATGTGCTTTTATGGTTTTATTATCAATTGTCCAACTTTTCACCTTAAAGTTACCATATAAACGACGAGAATGTTTAAATTCTGTTGTAATCACTGTTGGATCTAATAATTATATCAATGAGGCAAATGATGAAATTCCAGAGGATTTCTAATGGGGAAAAAAGACAAATAGTTATAACACAGCCTATTTATTGTAATTATTTATTTTATTTATCCATTCAATCCTTACGATTTTTTTATGCTGAAACGTTGAAATTACATCTATTTATTTGTTTGCATAATAGGTAATATTTATTCTCTATTATTTTTCTATCTTTTATTTATTGCGGAATTGTTGAATTACTTTTGAGACATTTCTTTATTGACTGATATATTTATATATATCTTCTTGTTTAAAAATACAAATGATTATTCAATAATGAACATTATGATTATTATTACTGCACAACACAACAAATTCCACACAATAGATTTCGATTTGTTTACATAGTATTCATTGTTCGAAGTAAGGTAAATTTACGTTTACTTAGTATTGTTACAACATTTTTAATGAGTTAATATAATTTTATTGATATAGCTGCAAACTTTCGATAGATATGATTAATTGTCGATATAACCTTGGTTATCCTTTTAGAAAAACGTAACGGATAGATATCTTTATCTCGTATTTTTAATGTAGACCATTAGCCAAATCCAAATTCATGTGTAATTGGCTCTGCAACATATATCTTATCTAAGAGATGGTAAGGATGCCGAAACTCAAGAAGTGATTCTGAGTATTTAGAAGTCAAGTTATTCAATCGCCAAAATGTCATATTTTCCCGCAGAAATTTGATAACTAACTTCTGATTAATAGTCAAACTATTCGAGGAATGTAGTTTGTCTAAAAATTTTAGTGGCAAGATACGATATCGTTAAGCATTTGATCTCATATTTAAAAGTAACTGTCTCAGATTTATTTATTGGAACGTTTTGATTAATGTTGCTCATCAATCATGACAACCTTTATGAAATTTGTAAATTTGTAACGAATTCAAATGTGGAGCATTTTACTGCGATGGATATACTACAATAAGCTATCTAGCTTTTACACCTATCTTTGTGGACTGAACTGTTATCTCAAGAAATAAAAACATAAATATTAAATAAAGCATAAACTTAAGATAAATGAATTCAGAGAAATCTGGTCATTTTATCGGTCCCCCCCCTCTCCCACATATCTAAGATGTGCAGCTATTAGTCGAGCACATGAACACGTTTCCCGGTTATTGACTTACGTTAAACCAAATCAACGCACAGTATGTGGGTTCAGGTTCAAACGTTAGACGAAGTCATCTCGCGGAAATTACAATTGAACAGAATATGAAGTATTGAAATAGGATTGGTATGGATGCATTTTATTACTTTTGCCTATCTTAACAATCAATGAATTAATAGATTGTTTATCATGATATTTAATAAAGTGTATATTAAATGCCGACAAAAGGATCAAGCAATGTTTCGGCATTTAATTCACTTTGGACTATAATCCGTATAAATATACAATTATTACGGTTTAATTCCATGAGAAAATTTATAACAAATATATATTTAAATTATAATAACTGGAATTACCTTGGTTTGTCGGAACAGACTGTCGGGACAAATATTGTAACCATTAACTTTCAGTCGTGAAAATCTTAACAATAGCTATAGAATGTCTTCTGAACCAGATACCGATTTTCCTGGAGCAATTCTCCTAAATCTCGATAAAAGTTCCTTTGAAGCACTTTTATTAATTTAAAAGGAATTCAACACCTTTATATATTGGTTCTAAACTAAACCCTATAAATGCTTTGTACCTATAATCTGTATTTGAATTTCAACGCTTCTAAATTGTTTTATTTAGTACATGCAGATGTATTTTAAGCTGAATAGGTAAAATTAATATAAACAGAATTAATTAAAGGAATTTTCTGAAGTTTTCATGAGAACCAAAAGTAATAATACTTGATGCAAACATTCCTATTATGTAATTTTAATTGCTATCCAATTTTCTGATTAATTTTTTATTAAGATCTATTATTTTTAGTGGTTGGACTTTGTTTAACTAAGTTATACGTTTTGTGAGGCAGATTCATGTCATTGATAGGTTCTAAATATCAATTTTCAGAGAGAGGTTACCTACTGAATATTATTGTCTGTTCAATATTCTCACTATTAAAACTATCATTTATTTATAAAATCTCTTTATTTGTAAAGATTATCAGAAACATGGACCCTCTACATGACTTGGAAAAATAAAAAATCTATTCTGCATGTATGTAGCATCTGATTCATCACTCGAAATTATTTAAAAGATCATTTTTCATTTACAGAAAATTCCAAACACACATCTCTGAAGCAGTGCTGAAACATTAGCAATATAGCATAGGGACAAATTTATATATGCAGAAACAATTTGTACAATTCATATTCTTATCATGATCCCACCTTTGTATTTCTTTTACATTCCAATTTACCGTTCTGTCCCTTTTTTGTTTAGGTTACATGTAAACTTATCATTTTTATTTCATTACGCCCAGACATCTACTTCACTAAAATTCTGGAATTTGATTCATCCTAATTTTATTACTGCATTACCCATTTTAGTAAGATCTTTATTTACCTAGTTGTAAAACAATCACACCATAAACTCTAATTCATTTTGAACTATGTTGATAGTTAATGCTTTGAAGGAGGAGTAGTACGAATCTTCTCACATGATTACATAAATAAACGATTCGCACACATTTCCGAATCATTTTATTGTAACAGGTTAAATTCACTTACCAAGTATAGAAGTATGAATACATGCAGAGCGAATATATGTTGATCATTTCATTTTTCAACAATTTTCTCATCAAGCTGTTTTGTACTAGTTAAATTATACTTTTGACCCTTATTAAATTAATTCTTGTTGATTGGTCACCTATCATCAGTAAAAGCCTTCCTTTATTTCAGACTGACTAAATTCATGGCTTCCAAACGATTATTTCCAAAAATTGAATGTCAGCCTCAGTGCATCATTAAATCGAATAAAACATTTCTAAACATTAAACTGTTTTCTAATACATTCTCTCTCGAGACGTGCTTTTTTGTATATACAGGTTACTTTCAATGTCAGTTTTCTCAGTATTTTGTCGTATACATATGATAATATGAGTATGTATTTTCCAAGCAACATTTATGTGTTCTATGCAATAATAATTACTAATAAGTGACTTCATAGCCATAATTACAAAATATGTATTGTGCTTGGTGTTTGATCATACTGTAAAATAATAGTAGTGTAAAGACGAATGCTTTCTCTAATTGAAGTCAGCATGATATTTAGTTACAGCAAAAAACCTAATAACATACAGTGTGACTACTAGGAATTATTACTATTTCTCAAAAATGACCTTTTTTACCAAGAGTTGAATCACCTTGATTTTGTATTCAAAGATTTAAAAACAAGATGATGTAAAGTAGTTCCTCCTTCTCTAAGATTTCGTCGTTAGCGGTTCATTATTGAGGTCATGTTTAAATATGCAACAAATCCAACTCGAATATGATTGGTTATTTCTTGAGTTTATCGTAAAATAAAATTTATTGTAAAAAATTATTATAAGTCCTTTTTCTCTGATTTACCGATGACTAGAATCCAGTTATTGCTAGATGGCTTCTGTATTGTTGTAACTGACCTAGACCAATATATGGTTGAGATAGTTCACTGAAGAAAATCTTAACAATGATCTAATAGTATTTCTATTTCGTAGTTTTCTTCGTTAAATAAAAATATCCCAAATTGTAAGAAATATGATGAATACCTTCTATGGAGCGATATCACCTGATTATCAATATAAATACGAAAAAATGTTTCATTATAATCTGGAATCACAAAACCATTTAGGGTACAGGTAAAGGTAAGAAATTTTTAAACTAATCAAACTTATGCAATATGTGTAAACTGAATATTACAAAATCTTCGTAGCAAGCAGTGCACTGATAATCTATTAATCAAAATAAACAAATATCATTTACTTTTTCATTTATGTAGGCGGCATGACATTTGAAATATAAATGTAATGAGATTTTTTTTATCGAACTGGTTTATCCAACTTATTTTGATTTAATACTAATTTAGAAGTATGAGACTCCTATTCGTTGATCATTTTAAATTGCTATTATAGTAGGAAATAAAAAGAACTTCCTAATATATTCTTCAGTGATAAATTGTTAGACCTCAGAAAGCATAAGAATGAAAATCAGAACATTACTATCATATAACCTACCTAGACCACGTTTCTATTCTTTCTTTAATCGGTATATAAAAATACAAGCACTTGTGCCTCTAAGTTCCTCATCGTCCTTTCCCACCGCGCCATCATTCATAGATGTGTTAAGGACAAACTATCTTATTGGGTCATACTGATGTGCATTTCTAGGTTCACTTGCTCTTGTGAAGCAAGTTAAATAAACCTTACAAAAGAGAACGCTTTCCAAACGATTCTCTGAACGTTATCTTGCTTGTCCTTCAGAAAGTGGATGTAAACCAATCAACAGTTCAATATTAGAACATCTTTCGAACTCTGGTCACATGGCCTCATCCGAGAATTCCTTTAAAATGATCTAAACACTCAGACGATTTGCTTTGAAAAGATCACATATTGTTAACTTATGCACTGCAAAGACGTTAGTAATTCATTATTTTATATCTGAACTCTGTGTGCAATAGAGAAACATGCAAGCCATCATTCTTTGGTAGCCCTTACACTTAGTTTTCGTAGATGGTTATTTGATTTTATTGCATCCTTCTAATGTTTCCAATCTTTTTAATTTTAAATATCATCTCCACGTTTTTAATTTATTCTTTACCCTTCTCATATTCGTCAAATGGACAATTATCCTTCTTACATTCGATCTCATCCTACTATCTTGCTTCAATTTTCGATTATTAAGCAACTTTTTTGACACATGATATGATGTAATCTTCCTCTTATCTTTTAAAAGATCATTTTATTTGTAAATTAACTATAATTACGATTTTACAGCTTGAGTAAATGATATCGACGAAAAGAAATTTTCCTTTGCTGAATTGCCTCATCAATGATTATTCAGATTGGTGTTAAACAAAACAAAACAATGAATGCAACAAAAATAAAAGTGGTTATGTGATAAGGAAAAGTGATAATCAGATAAGTTTATTCATCAAATTTCACGAGTGGTACCAAATTCATACAAATTCGTATTGGGGAATATTCATACAAAGTTATGACACGTCAATTTGCATAAAATGTAGTTTTTTTAAAGAATATTACACAGTAGTTGTTAATGCTGCTTTTTAAATTGTGTTTTATGCTTTAATGAATATCAGGAACGGATTTCCGAAATTAGACGTTTAATACAATTTGGTAGTATGTATTAGTTATTTATATCAAGTACTTAAAAAAACATTACTGAATGTGGAGAAATTGGCGGTTTCATTTTAAATTACTTCATACTAATATGAAGTATTTTTCTCATCTTGATTTTTCGAAAGTTGAAATTTAAATACCACACTTGCATCTATCATAAGTCATTTTAAGGCTTCGTGGTAGGTTATAGACAATAGTTCATGAACTATAAGACGGATATTTTCCTTGACATATTTCACATTAATATCGCTGAAAATTGTTTAATTGGAGTCATCACTTAAAAAAGATAGATCTCAACAAAATAATATTACCCTACAAATGACGAAGAGATTTCCATACTCAGCTGAGAAGAGCAAAACGAAGTTTTACAGAAACTAAGAGAATAGAACAAATCCTCAGATAGCGTAGCACAATACAAATGGATAGAAAGAAAACAATCTCTAAAAAAAAGTTGTGCGTAAAAACCGAAAATATTTATCAAACAATCTACATAGAAAGTCACTTAAAATTTACAGAGTAAAATTAGACGAACCTGTTTTAAGTCAACTTCTTATTGATGGCCGAATTAATATAAACAGAATATCTATACACTACCGACAGATTCACTTTCAGTATGTCTAGTACGCAACTTATCAAGCCAAAAGAATTACAGTTAATACAAGATAGTTTTGAGGAACACCAAGACAAAAGAAGATAAACGGAGTATCAGGAAAAAACCAAGTACAATAATTTTGAAAAGCAGACAACTCAAATTTCTCACAAATATCTTATTTCAGAAAAACGTACTGCTATCTACTTATGCAGAAATTATAATAGCACATTTCTAAGTGGTGTTTTTGTCGAAAATGGTGATTGGAAAGATAATCCAAACTGTGCGATCAAACCACTCAGTTCAAAATATATTACAATAACTTAATTGGAACTATGGTGACATATATTCAGTGATTTTTGTAACAACAAAAATAAAAACCACATTTTTTCTCTAATTTGTCACACTTTATTTGTAACCACATTTTTATTCAATATCTGTTGTTTTGCTTTATCACTTGTTAAAAAGACGATGATAATTGTTTCGATGAGTGATATACGATTCTACTACCGCGTTGTTTAAAATATAGAACACTATCTACGCCATTTGTTCTTCTGTTTTATTGGCCACCGTTTTGATTGAAGACTATAATAGTATTATAACGTCATTATAGGCCTTCCGACTCAACGTTGGACTTTTGGCGCGGATTACTATTGTATAATACTATTGGATTCCGTCTTCCTCATTACGTCATTGGTGCAGTCACTTGCAGAGGAACACCTGTCAATCAAGTGAACTCAATTTGTGGTCGTTGTTCTCACGAGGCAGTTCACAAGTAACATTCATTCTATAGTAATTGTTAGTGTCTGTTTGTTTAATATACCTTTTGTATTGCTAACGGTATTTTGTTACCTTTGGTTTTACTAACGGACGGACATTTAGGTTTCTTTACTATTAATGTTTTTGGTATATCACTATTAACCTAGTGTATCAATATATTTTGTGTAAGATCTTTTTGTTTGAGAACCACCACAGAACTAGCCGAAAAAATTAAGATATTATTTTCCCTAACCTAAGACAAGTAATTTGATTTCATGTACATTGCCTATATTTACAGAAGACTATAAACATAATAGTACAGACTGATTAGAAAATTAGGCTGTTGCCTTACAATTTACAAATGACAAACCTCTCGGCCAAAACTTAATTAATATATATTTTTACTTTGATGTATTCAATAAACAAACGGAAGCCATTTTATCTAGTCTTTTGATGTCAAACTTCAACAAAATAATATATACTGTTCAGTTAATATCTCAATTGCTCGGATAGCGATATAGACACTCTAAGTAACTACCCTTTTATGATTTACATTTCAGCCAATTTTGCAATGTCAACATTCACTTTTGTTTGTATGAAGAAGGGAGTTCTTCGAATAAGTTACTTTCAATCAGATTGCGCTATCATCAAACTAACTTTGGTTGAAAAATTCATTTTCTTATAACTCCGTTTTCTTTAAAATCTTATGATGGAGTCGATGTATCAGAATACCTGTGAAATCTATTAGAATAATATATTGCATTATTCCTAACGTCATTAACGATAAATTCATCGATACTGTTAATTTGTTCGTCTCATAGTTGATCAGCATGTTCAAAAACTTCCGATCGAAATACCAGAAATCCAGATGAATAGTCACACACACATAACTACAACTTACTAAGACTGAAAATACCTTCATTATACGTTGAGTTTCTATACTAAGAAGTTTCTGTTTAGTAATGTTGCTTTATTCCTATGATGTATTCATTATGTATTCCTGAATTGTACTTATTGCTGTGGTTTTATCTTTTGCATTTCTTAATTTCAGTGTCTCTTGCTATCACTATCTTAACTTTCTCATTTTAGGTATCCCTTATATTATACCTGCAATACTTTTTTAAATGAAAAAAGACCAAATCATGTTAAATCTCATGTGTTGTGTAATATCCATATTTTTTTAAGAAGCTGTGATATATGGTCAAATATTTTGCTGAGTTCAATCATTCAAAAACATTTTCCTATCCCTGTCAAAATTATTAGAGAATTAAATGAATCATTATGTGAAATATAGAGTATTATAAGCATCCATTAATTTGATCTTAACATCTTTTCGTAAACTAATGTCCTTAAGTATGCTTAATTCTAGAGTGTTATGTTTTTAAACTGGTTCTAGGTTGTTTCAACAGCTTTATATTAGTTATAAAAGTAGGTTCATAAAATGAGTGTGATTTACCTTTTATAGCCGTCTTAGTTCCAAATTGAACCAGTTACGTTCTAAAAGGTTTTGAAATCTACAGGATAATAAATCAAGGTTTAACAAAGTCATTCTACACAACGATGACTAATGTTTTCATCTGGAAGTCAAGTTTTTAAAACTTCTCGGGAGCATAAAATTCGACATTAGATTTTATACGAATAACATCTTACAGGAATAACATATAATATGAATTACAAAAAAATTCGGTTATATAATCTACATTGAAGTTATCACTGATTTAAAAGCTACTTTGATTGAATTAATAATAATCATATATATTCCATTTAATGAGTACAAATTATATTTAAGTTGGCATTCTGTAAGGTTTCTATAAATAAAACTACAGACAATATACTAGAGTAAGTATTGGATAATGAAATGCGATTAAATCAAAGTATTGGAAACACAACATTCAGTTACACAGTACAAAGACTAGAATCATAAATTATAGTTTACCTTAGAGTAAAGATCAAGCGTCACTTCACCTGATACCTTTGATTATATAAATAACAGACTGCTCACTATGACTCCCATCATTATCTCTAGGTAGTACTAATTAATGTTAAGGAAGTAAAAAAAATCACCTAACTTTATTGAAAAAGTTAAGAGAGATATTACCTTGGAAGGTGGGCTTTAATATCCAGTTTCATAAAATTAAAATCATATAAATGACTAAATTACCTAACAACAGCGAGAACAAAATTACCTAATCACTAGTTTCCAAGTTGAAATTGAAATTATAAACGATTTAATTTATAACGACTTTGTGATTCGATATTAACTCTGTAAACTTAAGTGATATGCTGAACCGATGAGAAGTAGCTGAATGAGGTCACTTGATGACAATCTGAAATGACTTGAAAGACAATAGCATATCATTGATTAGGAAATGAATTGATTTTATAAAAGGGTAGAG